TCACACTGACCAAGGGGTCAAGTTTAAGGTCAGGGAAAGATTTAGCCCAATTCTAGAACTCAGACAGTCAGTCAAAACCTTCCTTTCCAGCCTGCATCAGATGGATGTGAGTAGACTCCTATGTGGGGATACAGACCTTAGAGCTGTGTCCTTGACTGCTGGCTACACAGCGCCTCCTGCAGGAGAATGTAGGCAAAAGAGCCCCCACTCCCCAGGAGGCAGTGGGTCCCCAGCACAGGGTACCAGCAGAGCCCTGTGGTCACTCACCGATGGCAGTTTCCAGAAAGGGATGAATGCACTAGGTGAAAAGTAGGACCACAGATGACCCTGAAGTTCCGTTCCCTTCTGGCCCAAAAGTCTTCTGCATCATCCCTCTTTTGTGAATCTCTTTCCTGGGTCAATTCAGCAGCCAAGCCAGACTGGGAATGATGAGGAGTAAAACCCATTCCTCCTTCCCCAAGAAGAGTGGACATCACATTGGGTGACTGGAGCTCAGATGGGGACAGCAGGAGCTACCAGCCTGGTAGGCAGCCCTGTACATTAGAATCCCCTTGACAGCATTCAGGAAATGCAGATGCCCAGGACTCACCTGGATCCACTGAAGCCAACTCTCGTGAAGGGCCTGGCCCTCTGCATAAGCTGCCCAGGTGATTCTGCAATTCAGTGGACTAGTCTGTCAGTACCTATTTGCCGTAAAGATGAGAATTGTGAGTGCCAGACAGGAGCCCGGGAATCAGTGCTGATGGTCATCTCACACCCCCACCCCCACTAGCTAAGGCTGATGTCCCCCGTTAGCACACACCAGAGATCCACGGTCCTTGTCTTATCTCCATTTCCTCAGTTACTGAGACTCACTCCTAGCCAAAGCAACAGCCAAGCTTGCCTTACCGTGCCGCAGAGCAAAAAGCCAAGTCCCAAGCATTGTCAGGAAAGTAGGGTCCCTGGATGGAGTAACCCCATGCACTTCATTTGTGGCCACACTTTACAGTTTACACAGCCCCTTGTCCACTCACTGGCACGTGTTTACTGGAACACAGTTCTGTATTATAATCCCCTTGCTCAGAAGGGAAGACCTAGCCTCAGAGAAGTGAAAACCTCATGTCCAAGGTCATTGGCTACCAAGCTGGAGGTGTGTGTGGGGTGCATCCAGAGAGAGAGCTTCTGAACATGACTGCCCTGTGCCATCCCTTCCCAGCCCCCTCCCCCCCAGAGACC